CGAAGGCCCTGAGTGCACCGTTTGTTCACAACCCGGAAATAGATAAGTACACGATCCGTCATCACGCTCGCCTGCTGTTTTCCTGCCCGTCGCGCCCAGATTTCAAGGCCGCGGCCGCGAGTTTTTCTTCACCGCGGCCGCGGCGAACAAGCCGGTCCCAGCGCCCACCTACAGAGAAAAATAGTCGCGGCCTCGAGATGACTCGCGGCCGCGGAGCACTTCTTCACCGCGGCCGTGACTCACGCGAAAACAGAATTAAAAGTTCAGATTTTCGAACTCGTTAGGATTATTCTCACCTTCCGGGGTGAAAATCCTAGGTTGGGAAATTCACGAACTCCTCGCTTCTCCTTCTCCTCTCTCCTTCTTCTCCATTTTTCTTCTTCTTTTCATCTTTATTTTCATTTTTATTTCTTTTTTGGATTAAGCTTGTATCTCGACTTCAACATTCGAACTCGGATTGGAATAATTGTAAGCTTTTCTCTCTTGTTTAATTCATGAACAATGATTAAATTAGGAGAATCGATTTATCGTGTTGAATTCATGTTACATAGCTGATCTTTTGTGCTAGAGATAGGAGATTGATTGTTCTCGTTTGACTTGTACTAGTCGGACTTTGATTCGTCCATACTTATGTGCGTTGTTTTGATGAGGAATTGATAAATTTGTATTTGATAGATTGATATCGAAAAGTGACATTTCGATCTTGCTATTGGTGACAGTTGGATGTTGATTTGTCAAATTAGGGTTTGTCAATTCTATATGATTAGTTGAATAATCACCTTCTAATTGACTTAGCGTCTTTCAGAACCGAAAGGGAAGAAGTCGTAGAAATAGGCGCACATGAGGTAGATAATTTCGTAACTGAATAGTCTATATATTTTGGATTGAAATACGCGCTTGTCGATGACCCGTCCCTTGTTACGAAAAGTTATTGGGATTGGGATAATTGGCCTGTGTCGTGTGCTCGAACTTGTTCGTCTATGTTCAATCTCTTGTTACGAAGAGTTATTGGGAGCGAACCTCTAGATGTATAAGCGAGAGTGTCGAGTTCGAACTGAACAATTGATAGCCCGACTTTGCTAGAACTTGAAGTAATTATCCCCGATTCTCTAGCTTCTCCGTTTTTATTTCGTTTATATTTTAGGTAAATTATTGCTTTTATTTTATTTCTTAGTTGGTAATTGATTCCCCCTATTTGATTAGTGTGTTTAGGATTTCTTTTGTTTTTATGTGTTATCAATACGATTTCTAAATTTCGAACCGCCTTCCTTGTGAGATCGACCTGAGGAACGAATCTTTCAATTCGATACTCGGTAAAAAAAAATAAAAATTTGTGCTACAACAAACTGCAATTAAATTGCATGTTTATTAGACCCACAATTATTTAGACAATAAGATATGAAAAAAGATTGTGGGTGGTCCAAAGGTGCCAAAGATTGCAATTGCATGAGAGAAAAAGTGCAAATGGTGAGAGACGGCTTATTACACCTTACAATTACAAACAAACATTTGATTTTTTAAAAAAAAAAAAAAATG